ACTTAAATGATTTTAACATGGTTAGTTTTGATGTTAGTTAATTGTTTACGAAAGTTCCTGTTGATGATTTAAGTTTTTTATCTGAATAACTCGTTAATTATGATTTACCATTGCCAGTTCCTACTATCATTAAACTTATTAAACTTTGCGTTGATGATGCAAAATTTGTATTTAATGATAAGTTAAGTTTTACACTCAGAAGTTTGGTATGGGAAAAGGAAATCCTCTTTCACCTGTTCTTAGTGACCTATACATGGAATTTTTTGAAACAAGGCTGCTTAACACAATCCTTCCTAATAAAGCCAAATGGTTCAGATATATTGATGATATTTTGTGTCTTATGCCCAAGGATATAGATATACAATATTTCCTTGGCAAATTAAATAGCTTAGCCCATTCTATATGCCTTTATATGCCTTCCTTTGATGCATTACTTTTATTGTTCTTTGATAATATGAGTAGTCACGAAAGCGCTTGTAATTTCTCTATTCTATTCTCTCTCTCTCTCTCTCTCTCTCTCTATATATATATATATATATATATATATATATATATATATATATATATATATATATATATATATATATATATATATATATATTTATATATATATATATATATGTCGTGCCGAATATGTGAAACTGGTCAATTAGCAAGAACTCATTTAAAATTAAGTCCTTTCGAAAATTTCGAATATTTCTATCATTAATGTTAATATAAAAAAAATTAATTTTGCACCAAAAGAATCTTAGAAAACTTACCTAGCATTATTATAACAAGAGCAATTTATTTTAGCATAACCCAACTAAATATATTTTTTTAGATTTGTTTACAATTATTTAATACTAAACAAACACAGTGAAATACATTTTTTCGTTAGATTCAGAATGATTTTGGCGAAGTTATTGCATACACAAATTTTCACTTGTCCTATATGGCAAGATGAGGGTTGCTATTTAAGCCAAGATCGCAAGTTCTGCCTATTCGTGCCGAATATGCATATATATATTATATATATATATGTCGTGCCGAATATGTAAAACTAGTCAATTAGCAAGAACTCATTTAAAATTAAGTAATTTCTGAAATTTTCTCTTTACGTTTAAAGATATATTTTTTTAATTAATGTTAATGTAAAAAAAAATTAATTTTGCACCAAAAGAATCTCAGAAAACTTACCTAACCTTATTATAACAAGAACAGTTTATTTTAGCGTAACCTAACTAAATATATTTTAGATTTGTTTACATTAATTTAATACTAAAGAAACACAGAGAAATATATTTTTTTCGTTAGGTTCAGAATGATTTTGTCGAAATTATTGCATACACAAATTTTCGCTTGCCCATATGGCAAGATGAGCGATGCTATTTAAGCCAAGATCGCAAGTTCTGCCTATTCGGCACGACATATATATATATATATATATATATATATATATATATATATATATATATATATATATATATATATATATATATATATATATTATATATATATATTATATATATATATATATTATATATATATATATATATATATATATTATATATATATATTATATATATATATATATATATATATATATATATGTATATATATATATATATATATATATATATATGTATATATATATATATATATATATATATTATATATATATATATATATATATATATATATATATTATATATATATATATGTATATATATATATATATATATATATATATATATATATATATATAATATGTATATATATATAATATATATATTATATATATATATATATATATATATATATATATATATATATATATATATATATATATATATATATATATATATATATATATATCATCATTCAACACTTTCACCGCACTCACACATTATCACTGTTTTTGCAGAGGTGCTCAGAACACAACAGTTTAGAAGCATATAAGTATAAAGATACACAATATATCCCTCCAAACCGCTAATATCCCGAAACACCTCCTTTAGAGTGCAGGCATTGTACTTCCCATTTCCAGGACTCAAGTCCGGCTATATAAAAATAACCGGTTTCCCTGAATCCCTTCACTAAATATTACCCTGCTCACACTCCAACAGATCGTCAGGTCCCAAATACCATTCGCCTCCATTCACTCCTTTCTAACACTCTCATGGACGCCTCCCCTAAGTCCAAGCCCCTCGCCCACTAAACCTCCCTTACCCCTTCCTTCCAACCTTCTCGAGGATGACCCATACCCCTCCTTCCTTCTCCTACAGATTTAAATGCTCTCCATGTCATTCTACTTTGATCCATTCTCTCTAAATGACCAAACCACCTCAACAACCCCTCTTCAGCCGTCTGACTAATAGTTTTATTAACTCCACACCTTCTCCTAATTTCCACACTCCGAATTTTCTGCATAATATTTACACCGCACTTTGATCTTAGACAGGACATCTCCACTGCCTCCAACCGCCTCCTCGCTGCTGCATTCACATCCCAAGCTTCACACCCAAATAAGTGTGTTATCACTACTATACTTTCATACATTCCCTTCTTTGCCTCCATAGATAACGTTTTTTGACTCTACATATACCTCAACGCACCATTCACCTTTTTTGCTTCATCAATTCTATGATTAACCTCATCCTCCATAAATACATCCGCCGACACGTCAACTCCCAAGTATCTGAAAACATTCACATCTTCCGTACTCCTCCCCAATTTGATATCCAATTTTTCTTTATCCAAATCATTTGATACCCTCATCACCTTACTCTTTTCTATGTTCACTTTCAACTTTCTACCTTTACACACACTCCCAAACTCATCTACTAATTTTTGCAATTTCTCTTTAGAATCTTCCATAAGGACAGTATCATCAGCAAAAAGTAACTGTGTCAATTCCCATTTTGTATTTGATTCCCCATAATTTAATCCCACCCCTCTCCCAAATACCCTAGCATTTACTTCTTTTACAACCCCATCTATAAATATATTAAACAACCATGGTGACATTACACATCCCTG